GCAGTACAGGGAGATGGGCAATTTTATTGAGATGCCGACTCTAGGGAGGTTATTGAATAAAGCTATAAACCCCAACCAGGCCTGGGGGAGATTACCACATGATTAATATTCTGGAGGAATGTAGGGTATATGAATAATAATTTTAGGGGGAAGAATTATGACTAGACTTTGAAGAGAGATCATATTCAGTTTTAACATTTTTTTGATGTCTAATTAAAAGAAGAAAAAATCACGCATATAAAATACGAATGAATTCATATTAAATTATAACTTTGCAAAAGTTCAGATGTCTACTACCAATTAAAAAATCAGGTTGATAAAACATAATTCACTCTTGTCACATCAAATTTTCAGCATTGATAAGTAACAGTCAGTAAGCAGATTCTAATTTAAACAAGTTGGGTGAGGGTCTGTTGTAAAAAGTTTAAAAATTAATAGCAACAGAGAAAAGAAAATAAAGGTTGGCATATTGGTTGAAGTGGCTGGCATCTACAAATCCCTGTCTGATTGTATATTTCTTATTCTCTGTACACAACAATCTGTAAACAACACTTTCTTGGATGCCATGAATTAAAAACCAGTTGATTACCTGTGCCTATTTTCTGGTAACCATTTCCTGAAAGAATCAGTTTGTACATGCCACCATTTGCATATTATATAATCTCAGACATTTTATATATATATATATATATATATATATATATATATATAGTGGACTCTCCCGTCATATTCGTGTGAGGGTGAAGCAGCTCAGTTCCTAGGAACCGACAGCCCATACACCAGCACATTTGATTATAGTGGTGAAGGCTTTGTGCAGAACCAACCACAATTTTTAAAGAGTGGAATACAGACCCACCACAGGTTTTGAATTCAGAGTTGTCCTTCTCTTAGACTATTTGCCATCCAATACTATAGAATCCAGTCTGTCCTGCTATTTACCCATAGCTGGATGGAGAAGAGGAGAATTACTGCCTTTCCCAAGAGTATTAGCATGTAAGTGAATGCAATGGATTTGACTGGAATTTGAACTTGACTGTCCAATTCCTCAATCCAAGCTACTATTCACTACTCCACCATACCTCCTTATATATATATATATATATATATATATGGGATAATGATATATAAATTTTGGTATAGTAAGAACAATTTAGAAAAAAAAAGATGTATGAAAAATTGGAAAATGTTTTTGTAATATGTTTCATCCATTAGGACTTCATCAGACTGGGTCTGTTTATGCTGTTTTGACTACACGTGCATGAATGAGAGACACTGAGTTTCAAAATTTGGTGTGTGAGTGTGTATGTATGTGTGTATATATATATATATATATATATATATATATATATATATATATATATATATATATATATATAAGTAAAAAAGCTTTGTCACTTAACTGATTGATGTTACCTTTAGCATTCTGACTCAGAGTTTCATAGATGGACACTCCATCCACTCATCAGTGGGTATCAGTAATTGACTGTTTATACTTCTTGATTTCTCTTATTTATATGCACTTTTCATTGGTGCAATATTTTTTTTTTTTTTTTTAGTGTATCTATGCATATGCCCACGTCAAGAATGATGTGGTTATTTGTCCTTATTGCCCACTGTACATTCACTCCTTATTGGTATTTTACTTCTACAGGGTGTGGCAGAAATACCTCCCATAATTTAAAGCTTGACAAAACAATGAAGATAACTGCTATTAATAAAAGATTATTTCTCTACTGTTTAAACAAGTTACAGTTTTTATTCATTTGTTTTTAAAAATGACATACTCCAAATGTTGGTTGCTATTCTTCATACACTTTTGTAGATGATTTCTAAAGTTTTTCATCACCTGGAAGTTCAAACATTTTGAGGCCTTCTGGGTAGCTTTCTTTTGAGTGCTGAACCTGTGGCCCTTAAATTTTCAACCCATAGCAGTATCGATTTTTCTATCCAGAACAGTATCATTCAAGTGTAACATGAAAAGAGCACAAAAATCTCTGTGTTGCAATTAAAGAGTTACCTGTCTTAAAAAAAAAAACGCTTCAATAACAAACGCACAGTGTGCACTGGTCCAAGCCATGATGGTAACTGATGGTTCCCAAAAAGAATGGTAATACATTAGCTAGATGAAGACACCATTGCCACCAAGTTCACTATCACCATTTATGTGACAGTTTAAAATGTGGGAGATATTTCTGCCTCACTCTGTATGTGTGTGTGTGTGTATATATATATATATATATATATATATATATATAGTGGAGATTGAAGTCAACACCCAGAAGCAACAGTCTGTTTCATGCTAAATGTAATTGTCAGGCCATGTCAATTGCATTTAGCATGAACCAGACTGTTGCCTCTGGGTGTTGAATTCAGTGACTACTTTTATATTTATGTATGGTCTATCCCTCATATTGAGCAATTTAACTCATAAATATATGATTTTATTCTTATATATATATATATATATATATATATATATATACACAGACATATATATATATATATATATATATATATATATATATATATATATATATATATATATAGATATATATATATATATACACACATATATATATATATATATATAGACACATACATATATATACATATACATATATATATATATATAAATACACACACACACATATATAAACATATATATATATATATATATACACACACACATATATATATATATATATATATATATATATATATATATATATATACACACACACACACACATGATATGTTAAAAGTACAGTTTTATTGTATGCTATATTTATATGTTAAAGTGCTCAATATCAGGGATAGAGTGTATGTAAATATAAATGTAGGCACTATGGTCACCATAAAGTGACAACAGCCTGTTTCAATCTTTAATGCAACCTGCAGGTTTTATATATATATATATATATATATATATAGAGAGAGAGAGAGAAACGAACAATACAATAACATGACAAAGTGTTATTGGGTATGAAAGAAAAAAAAACTTTATCAAGTAAGAAGTACAAGAAAATAAACTATTAGAATAGAATCTACAGTTACATCTAACTAGTTTAACATTAAAACAGTGAGACCTAGTAGCTAATTTATTGGAATGCTTAAGGGAAAGTAGTAAAGTTAGTCAGACTACATGTTTTTGTTTTTATAGTAGGTGTCTTCCGGCCAAAATAAAAGACAAACCTGTATGTCAGAAAAGTGGATTGGAATTTGAGAAAGCCATCGTAAGCATCCTTATCAGATGCTATGTCCAGAAAGTTCTTTTTTTTCTTCCTTGTATTGAAACTGTTATTTAGTACATCTGAGAGGAGAAAATGAACAAAATTTCATGCTGTAGCTTTTGATGGGTATGTTTATTAGTTCTTCTTTAAATTTAGATGCACTTTCTTTACACACAGATTTGTCACTCTTTCTGACCTGAAGAAACCTACTGTAAACAGGTCAAAGCATTGTCTGAAAAGCTTTTCTACTTTCTTTCATTATCTTCACTTTTGATAGTACATTATTCTACATCCTACAAACACCCATCCCATATATATATATATATATATATATACATACATACATACAAGTATATAATTGGTATATACGGAATGAATTCCAATAACCAACAATTACTATTCTTAAAAGAGTGCTCAATACAAAGTAGAGCAGATATAATTATTTTTTATAAAAAAAATTATAACATACTTTTGTTATAATTTTTTTTATAAAAAATAATTATATATATATATAAAAGGAATTCATTGAGTGTGTGTGTATATTTGATTAGAAAGAACTGGCAATATCTGTTTAATTTTTTTTATAGTATTTTTCCAATTTTCGATTATGGTGTTGTATTTTGTACTTGAACAAAACAACACATGAACTTCAGACTGTTTGTCCATAATTTTGAGCACAATACATAACACTTTATTTGAAAATTAGAAAAATACTATAAAAATGAAACAGATAAACCTTATCGGTTATTTTTAATCAAAGTTGTTTGGATGAACAGATGCTACCTAAATATTTCTCTTTTGATATATATATATATATATATATATATATATATATATATATATATATACTGTTTAAAAAACATATCACTGTTCAAAATAACAACTCACACATCTGTGCCCACTAAAAATAACATTTATGCTCATGTTAATATTAGTTGTTTCCTTATGAGGAAACATTTGGTATTTATTGCTAGTGCTGTTATTAAATTAAATTTCTAAAATCTTTCTCTTCCAACAACCTTTCAGGTAAATACTTTTCTCAAGTCCAGTAGTTGTTATTGCTCTTTCTTTGATGCAAGTTTCCTTCCTATCCCTTTATTTGAAATAGTGTGGAAAGCCATCATCTTGATTATGTCATTATTTTCTCTTTGTTATATGTGATATTGCTTTTAGTTGTTGCTACTGTAATATTATATATACAATCAAATAAGGAACAAGTAAAAAAAAATCTTAATGAGTTCAACATGTTTTGCCATTGACTTAGCTTCATTATTTACATATTTAACATGCGAACTATTATCTTCATGTTTGTAAGAAAAAGCTTTTATAAATATTACATGACAGTAATGCTAGCTGTTCTTTCAATGAATGTCACATGTTTCCTGTATTCGAGTAATATTCACTATTTTTATATATCTTAATTTCTCCATGCCACTCTTTCTCTCACTGTGATAATCTTTTCTTTTGAAGGAACAAATTTGATTGATGGACTGATTCATTTTCTATAGCATATCAATCCTTTGAAAGTTATTTAAAAGCCAGAAAATAATTTTAGATAGAATTTCTTTTTGAGATAATAATGATTTAGTGATACAAGTTTTACTAATTAACCCATGTCTGGGGGAAGAAGTGGATTCATACCTTTCCCAAGGGTATTTGAATGTAAGTAAATATATAACGATCCCAACTGGATTAGGAATATGATTCTCTGATTAACAATTACAAGCTATTATCCAATACACCACATGCACATCCACACTTAAGCAGCTGGTGTCACCCATCTAGGTACTGACCAGGCTCAACATTGCTTAACTTCGGTGATCAGATGAGAACTGATGTCTCAATGTGATATGGCCATAATCTATATTGCTCACATATCCAAACTTACAGCATCTTGTATTTCCAAGCGGTCATCCATCTTGGTACTGATCATACTCAATGTTGCTTAACTTCAGTGATTGAATGAGAACTGGTGTCTCAACCTGATATGGCTGTGAGCTATACTGTTTGCATATCAAAACTTACAGCATCTGGTATTCCCAAGCAGTCACCCATCTAAGTACTGATGTTGCTTAACTTCAATGATCATACGGGAATCTGTGCTTCAATGTGATGTCTGTATGCAGGAACAAGCTTGACTCTGGTACCAATCAAGGTTGGTACCAAACAGTCTTCTTGCCATTAGAATCTCAATAGTTTTTACCACTTTCTATCATGGCCTCCTTGTACCTATCAACCTACAAATTTACTTATCTGCCTGCCTGCCTCCCTACTGGTTGAGCCTTTAATCTGATTTGCAAACAAAATAATAAAGAAAAGGGAGAAAGCAATCCCCAAATTATCTGCTCATTAGGAAAAAAAAAACAAAAAATTTGGTAAGAGGATTATTTCTCGTTGATTTTCTTTTGTCTTTGCATTCATTGATTCAATTCATTTTCTCCTGCCATTTTGCAACGTGAATTACTTGGCTAATGCCTATTTATGCTGTGCCCCCAGACCTCTTATTATGCCATTGCTTCTGCACTCATCCCTTCATTAGAGAATGCAAATCAATTACTTAAGCCACCTTGCACCAAACTTAAACAATGCCCGGGTGAACTGTAATTATCTGTCCTCTTAGACCCAGAAAGAAACCTTCTTCGTTTGCAATTGAAAAACTCAATTGAAGCCTTTTATTAACTCAATCCTGCTACCTTTTGTGCCAATGGCTTACTCTTTGGCATTGATAAGGATTAGTTGGAAATATCAACCTGAGTTTTATTTTCATTGTTGATGCCAGCTTGTCTGTTTTTCTTTCTTTGCTTTCTGATCTTCATCATTTTCCTTGCAGCTGAGAAGCCTTGATGAAAGCCGGTATCTCAGTTCAGTTGCTGAGGGAATGTAATCTTTACTTAGTATTATTGGCATAAGTACGGTTGATTCAAGTTCAAAATGATGAGCGTGTATATCATCTTTGCCTTACCAATAGTCGGTCCCTCAACCCTTTTTTGTTTTTTTTTAGTTAAGAATATTTAGACATTTTTATAAAGCAGTGATATTAATTCTTTAGAAATTAGAACTTCAAAATAGTTTCATAAACTGAAATGATATCAATATGAAAAAAATCATATTTATTTTTATTCTTTTATTGTTATAATTCTTATAAAAATCTGTTTCTTTTACTACGGTTGTGTTGAAATATGTGCTAATTTGATTTGCAATAAAAAGTAAAATATCTGTATTTCTTAAATAATATTTTTAATGACAAAAGATATCTATTCTAGTTTATTTATAGAATTTGCAATAAGCTTACCTGAAGCTATGTAAATTTTACTAAAATATATCATGAGTAGAATAAATATTCAAGACTGGTGTGTGTGAGAACTAGAGGGTGGCTCTATCTGAGGGGAACCCCATTATCCTAGCTAATTATAATCCAGCCCTAGAGTAGTCTGTTTATGTTTTGCTGCATAAAAATTTGTTATTGAAATATAAGCCATGAGGCACTCAAGGTAGAGGACATGTGATAATAATGTAAATGTAGAAAGTGAAGATTATGTGGATGTGGAGGATGGGTAACAGTTGACCCTTGACTTGAAGGAGTTAAGATTGTAGCATTTGGAGAAGCATTCACATAGGTAACTTTCTTTTCTTTTTTTTTTTTTTTTTTACTAATGTCCATCCCATACAAGGCTGAAGAGCCACTCAAGGTAGATGGTTACTGTGTGGTGTTTTATGGATGTAAATAAATCAAGGATTGCAGTTCATGGTGTTATGTAGGAAAGATAATGGTTATCCCTAGACTTGAAGAGGTCAAGGTGGTAGTGATCACAGGAAACATCCTGTTAAATGTTTGTTCCACAAAGCAGTAGTTCTTGTGAAGAAGCTGTCCAAGTGGAACTTGCTCCTTACTAATGGAATACAATGGGAATGTAGATGATTCATCTTTGTGTACATGGCATGCTGGGTCTCCAGGTTCAAAGGTCAGAACTGGTGGGATCAAGGAATGTATCTCTTCAGAACACTTGGCATAGAAATTGCGATAGTGTAGCTAGAGGCTTATGATGTTTCCTCTGTGGGAAAAGGGGTTGTAGGGTGGAAAATAATAAATCGCCCACAAGGCCACAAAGAGACACTTTTGAACTCTATCAAGTTGGGCAAGTGAGAACTGGTCAGCTTTAGCCCAAATAAGGTAACAATACTCCATTTTTAGTCTGAAATTTTGTAAAGTTAGATTATAGTGGGGGTAGTCAGATACTTACCGGTGCAGTACAATGAACTGAAGTATGTCTGTTTCACAAAGCAGTGATTCTTGAGAAAAGAGTTGTCTGAGTGGAATTTCCTGCTATCAACTGGAATGTGGAGGGAATGAGCGGTTTGACTTTGTGGACACCGCATAGTGGCTGTTAGCTATAAAGGTCTGAACTAGTGAAACTAAAGAATGGAGCTTGTCCAAACAATTTGCCATGGAAATAGTAATAATGTAGCAACAGGTTTAGTGACATTGCACCTGTTGGGAAAAACGGCTGTAGAAGAGAAAACATTTCATCTTCCATAAGGTTGTGTAAATAAATTTAACTCGATCAAGTCTAGAAAGTAAAAATTAAATAGCACTACCCCAGACAGGGTAACAATTTGCCATTTCAGGTCGAATCTGATTTAATTTCTTAACACATTGAACCCATAGTACCTATTCACCTGTATAATGATCTGAGAATAATTTTGGTTGGCTATAAGTTGAATAAGGTTGTTCCTCTGAGCAACTTTGTACTGGTCATTTGCTGATATGTTTCATTACACAGGCAGTTCTGAAATTTACAAAGATAGTGCATCAACAAATGATCAGGTTTAAGAGTTAAAGTTTGGATGTTACAGATTTGCAGGAAGCATGTTAACATTAGAAACGTTTTAGACAAGCTTTTTGGCATCTAATTTTTATGCTGTACGAGGCTGAAGAGCCACTCAAAGTAGAGAGTTACTGTGTAGTGTTTAATGCATATAAGAAAAGGAAAGACACATAGTCCATGAGGTTATGTAGGAAACATAACGATTTACTGGTAGTGCTTTTGGCATTACCATTAAACCCATAATAGTATATGTACCTTAATTTTAGAACCTTTAAAATAGCTTGAATCATAATGTTCTGTGTTGTACTACTCTGTTTCTTTAAAAATATTGTCATATCAATTGGATCCAGGAATCGACTAAATGCCCTCCATACAGAAGGTTGGCTACTTTAAAGGGGCCTCCAGTTATCTGTCCTTATGCCTATCTTTTTATATTTCATGCAAACCAGACCTGTATCTACCTTTTTTGGCAGTGCAAATTCATTTGTCTTTTGGACACTTATACAATGTAAAGTCACGTCTACACTCATGCAAACAAACTCATGTCTACCTTCATGACACTCAAGGAAAACAAAAACCCTATCTACCTTTTTGACTCTCATCAAAAGCCAATCCATCTTTTTCACTCTTGCACAAAACAACCGCTTGTCTTCCTTTTTGGATCTTATTAAAACAAACCCTTTTCTGCTTTTTCAAATCGCATGAACACAAATTCTTGTCTATCTTTTTGGATCTCATGAAAATGAATACTTTTTTTGGATCTCATGAAAATGAATACTTTTTTTGGATCTCATGAAAATGAATACTTTTTTGATCTCATGAAAATGAATACTTTTTTTGGATCTCATGAAAATGAATACTTTTTTTGGATCTCATGAAAATGAATACTTTTTTTGGATCTCATGAAAATGAATACTTTTTTTGGATCTCATGAAAATGAATACTTTTTTTGGATCTCATGAAAATGAATACTTTTTGGATCTCATCATTTTTGGATCTCAAAAATGAATACTTTTTTCGATCTCACGAAAACGAATACTTTTTTCGATCTCACGAAAACGAATACTTTTTTCTCAAAAAAACGAATTTTTTTTCAATCTCCGAAAACGAATACTTTTTCAATTTCTCAGAATTTTTTTTCGATCTCACGAAAACGAATACTTTTTTCGATCTCACGAAAACGAATACTTTTTTCAATCTCACGAAAACGAATACTTTTTTCAATCTCACGAAAACGAATACTTTTTTCAATCTCACGAAAACGAATACTTTTTTCAATCTCACGAAAACGAATACTTTTTTCAATCTCACGAAAACAAATACTTGTCTACTTTTTTGACTTCCATGTAAAACAAATCCATGTTCAAAACAGTCATATATCTGCCATTTTTACTGTCAAAAAAAGTCAGACCCCCATCTATGTTTTTGACTCTTGTGTGATGCCAACCCAGATCTACCTTTTTTGCTCTCATGAAAATAAATCTGTTTGTACCTTTTTTGACTCTCTTGCAATGCAACCCCATGTCTACCATTCTGTTGTTCATCAAAATGACAAAATTAGCATGAAATAAACAGGAAAAGGTTGATAAGCCATAAATCAAACCAATCCTTTTGGAATAGGATAAATTTAATAATGATTCACTTTGCTTACATAATTGAAGATGTTTGTATGCCTGCATGAAGATGCACTGAGGTACTCATTAGCTTCTCTCAGATGTAGATATTGCTACCTTTGTGCAGAATGAGAACATAGATGCTAGCAAGAATTGTTTTCTAAAAATGGTATACTAAAAAGAATTACGTCACTATACATGATAAAGAAAAAGTTATTTTATATGAGAAACTTTGAGCTATTTGCAGCTCTTCACTGCTGATTGGTTCTATTACACAAGGCAGTTGGGAAATAATGAAATATACCCCAAATGTCAAAAGTTAATGAAGTGGGTCAGGTTTTAGGGCTCAAAGAATTAAAGCTGCATTGATTTTGGTTTGTGCCATGGGAACATTCTAAAACAACTAGGATTTTATTTACATATGTCAGACTTTAGAAATCCGATCTTAAAATTTTCCACTGTTTTCAAAAACAGCATCGTAAATGAAAAATGCCCTTAAAAAAGAAATAAAGTATTATTCAAAATGCTTATGTTATTATTTAGATGAAAGAAAAAA